AAGCTCTGACAGGTCGCACGTCGCTCCTTTGACGCCGACGTGACTCACCCGTGCAGATCACATCAGGACACGGTCTCGACGCGCTCGGTACGACGCCTGCGACCCGTCTCGGGTCAGGTGGCACGACGCTCATCGCGCCTGCCAGCGATGCCGTGCAGGTTGCCACGACGAGGTCGAGCACGCTTCTATACGCTCGCCGAGCCTTCCTTTCCATCCCATTAGGCAGCCTGGGAACGGTGGCGGTCAGAGGCAAAGACTACGAGGGGTGGTGGAACCACATGTCACGGCTACTGCCGGCTCGACCCCACGATAGCCTCCGAAGGCTGACTTTGAGGCACCATCATCGGACGATGTCGACGAGTTGGGTCGCTCTCGCGGTAGCCAGATGACCTCCCATGCTAGTACCATCGGCTAGGGCCGCAGGAAGCGCGGGGGAGGGCGCTGGGAGCAACACGGAGCTCCGTTGGACGTTTTCAAGATTAGCGTGTCAGAGTGAAATGGAACTAGCCTTTTGGTTTTGTGCACACTGGTTTTGAGAGAGATTCTTCTCTGGTTTTGTCTCTCTGGAACTCTTTCTTGTGAATGAAAAGGCGGCCAAGGCGCGTCGGGACTGTCCTCCCATCCCTCTTTTGGACTGTACGTGTTCTTTCTTTCTTTCTTTTAGGGAGAGTGACGAGAGACAACACAGATAATCAGATTTTTTGGACCCCCCTCCACTTCAGCTCCATCCACGTACGTGGCGTCCCGTCGCGCGTCGGGTCAGTTTTCTTCTCTGTTTATATGTGCAAGAACCGGGTTCCTCCCACCACAGAAAAATAATTATCATTCGGCAGAGGACCCAGGGCTGGAGCAGCGCGCAGCAGACCCAAGGCCAAGCCAAGATGAATGAATGAGTCGCTCCGCCGGGAGCGTCTCACATGACAAGAGAAGAAACATGCACATACATACATTCATTCATGACTCTCACTCAGCGCTTTGATCCCAATCACGACACATGTGTGACTCGCCTAGTGTGGAGACGCCGTGTACCGTGGGGCCTTGTTGTCCTCGCACGGGGGTACCCGTGTGTGTGTGTCTCGCGCCTTGCGGGGGAGGGAGCGGAAAGGAGGACCCGAGGTGAGTATAGGAGGAGAGTCAGGTGGCTATAAGCTGTGTGCCGCTCCCAGTCTGGTCGTGGTCGAGACCGAGGTGTCGAACTGAGAGGCACTACTGGAGGGTTCCTCCGGCCACCGCTCGACTACCCACGCACATGGCCGGTCCTGTGGCTTGCCTGTGGACTCGCTCAGAAGCCTCAATTCGCGCACACCTTTGCTCTCTGGCTCCCGCGAGTGCGTTCAGGCCACTCAAGCAGGCGACGCCGAGCACCCGCAATGCATCTCGCCGGGGCGCCACCTATCGACCCGACTGATTGGCAGCATCAAAGCCGACCCCATGACGGTCCTTCGGTGGCTGACGCAACTGCCGAGAGAACATTCCCCCGAGAGGGCGCCGAGAGAACATTCCCCCGAGAGGACAAAAGAAAGGCGTCGCACCCCCTCCGTGCGCAGTGTGCCCCCCGCTATGTGTCGCCGATTGGGGCACGCTCTCCTGTGCAGTCAGGGCAAGCAAGCGGGGGCGAGGCGCAGTCCCCCTGGTCTATACTGGTGTGGTTCTGTCCCTAGTCTCGGAGGGGGGCAAAAAGATAAGAATATCTATTTTTTGTGACTCCCATGGATGCAGTCGGGTGGGGCACGGTGCTGGGCCTGGGGGGCGGTCCGGTGCGCCACAACAGCCTCCCTGGCTGACGCACCCCCATCCAGTTCGACACCTCCATCCTGACCGTGGAACCCGTGACTGTCGTTGCTGTCTCTCCCTTCTCGACTGCCTGTGCTTTGTTTGTGCGTCTTTCTTGGGTCCGGGGTTGTGTTTTGGGAGAGAGAGAGAGAGATGTTTTGTGTTTTGGTGAGGAACTCCAACTTACTTCAACCGGTCAATCAAATAGAACGCAACGAGAACAACTCTCTCTCACAGCACACAGGTTCGACACAGGTACGCGACAGTACCAAAAGAATCACAGTCGCGGGGGCGCCTACACGAAGGCGTCGAGGTGGGCGAAGGGAGGAGGGCGATTCTCAAGAACGACGCCCACCCGGTCAACCCACACGACCTCGGCGTTTTTTGCCCCTCCGCTGCACGCTTGCCCGCCTTCGCCCCGAGGGGCGTGGCCGTGGCAGGCGTCCTGCGTTGCCATCACGTTGTCGATCTTCTCGCTCGGCACCTTATATACATGCAGCGCCTCGGCCGCTTCGGGCGCCTGCTCTGCGTCGGGAGTCTCGGTGCGGCGTCGGCCGCCGCTGTGCGGGCGGCGGCCACGATGGCCGCTCGCGGTGTCGACTATGAAAAGCTCGGCGGGCGCGGGTACGGCTCGATAAAGTCGTGGGGCCGGGAAGCGGGACAGTTTGCGCTGAGGGATGAGGTGCCGTCGACCTCGTCCGACGGCTTCGAGGTGGCCACAGTAGCGGGCGGCTGTTTCTGGGGAATTGAGCTCCGACTGCAGCGGCTCGATGGCGTCGTCGCGACCTGCGTCGGGTACACGCAGGGGCGCACGCGAGAGCCCACGTACGACGACGTGTGCGGCGGAGGCACGGGCCACACCGAGGTCGCGCGCATGCAGCGCCGCAAGCTCCGTCGGGAAGCTGCTAGAGCGCGCGCGCTGTCTCGTCTTAGGCGGTGCAGCTCATCTATGACCCAGAGGTCCTCGCGTACTCGACCATCTGCGAGACGCTGCTCGCGTCGCTCGACCCGACCGCCGTGGACCGGGTGGGCAACGATTACGGCTCGCAGTACCGACACGGGATCTACTACCACTCGGACAAGCAGCGCGGGGTGGCAGAGGCGGCGATCGCGGACGCGCAGGCCAGAGCCGGCCGCCGCAAGGTGGTGACCGAGGTCAGGCCGGCGACGGTCTTTTGGCCCGCCGAGCAGCACCACCAGCAGTACCTGCAGCGCGGCGGCCGGTTCGGCTCGCCCCAGTCGGCGGCGAAGGGCTGCAGCGACCGCGTGCGGTGCTACGGGTGAGGTGGGGGCGGGGACGGGCACCGAGAGAGAGGCGAGAGGCACAGGCTGCCGAGCGACTCCTGCGCGTCGTGCTCGCGGCGGTGGCAGTCGCGCAGAGCTGAGCAGCTGACGCAGCTGCCAGCTCCAGCGCAGCTCAGAGATCTCACGCCGCCGCGTGCCGCGGGCATCGACATCATCGAGCCTCGCATTCGTTCGCACTTTCTTTTTCTCGCTCTTCTATAATATCTTATCATCTTCGAGTTCGACTTCTCTCGTCGCCCCCGGGTGCCGGGTGTGGAGAGATCTGAGATGCGCGCGAGGGGTCCTTGCCAGCACCACACTTTGTGTGGGGGGAGAAATTCACCTTACCCGCCTGATCCGATGCCGGCTCGGGCGGAGCTCTGGTGCGGTAGCTGCCTCGGTCGAGATAGGCACGGTTCGCGCGGCGACAGTGTAACTCTCCGTGGCGGCCGCGAGGACCACAAAGGTTCAAAGCAGCTCCGACTTGCTCTCAATGTACCCGTTCACCACCGTCGCTGGCAGCCGAAACTCCTTGCCAAACGCCTTGGCCGTGCGGAGGCCACTCGCGCCCGTCTCCACGCAGAGCATGAGGAAGTGGACGCGGTCGCCGTCAGCTGCCGCCGTCGCGCCCACGGCCCAGGCTGCAGGCAGCCACGGCCTCGGCGCACGGGCGGCACCCGGGACCCGCCTCAGACGGAACCCATGATCGGACACAGTCACAGGTCGGACCCTGAGGATTCACCTGTCCCCGCGTCGGCTCTGTTCACGCGGCTACCCGTGACCCGACCAGGTACGCGGCTACCCGTGACCCGCACCCGTCACACGTAAACGAATAAAGCCGGACGACCCGCACGGCGCTTACGTACATGACAAATCACAACAAAGATCCACAGGCTCCTCGTGGGTACGTGTGTCTCAGAGTCCTTCTTGCCACAGCCCCACCCACGGACGCTCCCCATGGAGCGAAGGGCTGCAGTTGCGGGCTTGCGGCCATCTCAGCAGCCCGCGTCGAACACGACATGGAAGTCGCAGAAGGTTACCATCTCCGTTCCGGCCGCCTGCTCCCCCGGCCACTTCAGAGCGCTCAGCACCTTGCTCATTCGCGAGCGCAGCTCGTTCTCCAGGGCGCCGTGCTGCAGCGACCCGACGGGCCACCCGAGGAGATCCGCCGTAAAGTCGGCGCTGACGCGTTGGATGGCGAAGGAGGGCTCGTCGACGAAGCCCGTGCCTGCGAGGAAGCTCATGCCGAGCTGGCTGTCGAGGTCGAAGCCGAGAGCACACATGCGAGGCCCGAGACGGATGCCGAGCACGACGTCATCGCCCGCGGAGTCTTGGAAGCCGGTGCAGTGGAGGCTGACGTCAGAGAACACGCCGCTGTTGTGCGCCTTTTGCCACGCCACGTAGTCGGATGGATCCGTGTGCTTTGAGGTGGGCATGCCAATACGGGCGAGCAGGTCCGCGAGGGCGTCGTGAAGGTGATACTTGAGCCACGGGCCACTGTAGTCCAGCGACGTCTCGAGTGCGTGCTGGAGTGCTTCCTCGTCCGTGAAGTCGAAATATGGGCCGCGCGCCGGGTCCGGCTCGGCCTCGACGGGG